TGGCTTTTATGGTGACGCAGATTGTGAAGTCAAGTTAGTAAACTCTTCTTGTTTTACAGAACTCCATTAAGCAATTTTCAGATGGAAATGGAAGATGAAGAATTAGCTTTGAAAAAGAAGATAGGAAAGGAGAAAAATGAAGAGATTCGAGTTCCGATGAGATTACTCCGAGAGTCAATCAAGGTACTGCAATCACTTTTTCTGTTTTCTTGCTACAATTTTCTCTACCGGGCGTCTTTCAAACATAACTCAGACAGACGCTCCACAAATGAACGAAAATCGACTGCAGACTTGTGGTTTTTTCTGATGATGCACTTGATTTTCGCCCCCTTTCGTTTCAACATGAAAAAAAGTTTGCCGATTACAAATATGTAGATTGGATGTTTAACACAGACCAAAACGAACGAAACTGATTTTTCCACTGGCGGTTGGTTACCGTAGTGACAATTACGGTTATCAACCGCTAGTTATTGATTTTTCCAATTGATTGTCGAGTGATTTTGAGTGATTGATTGTCGTCGCATTGCGTAATGATAATCGAAATTTGAAGGCTTCGATTTGAATTGAGCAGTAAAAAGAGTTAGGCTTCATTCCCCACTGCCTCACTCTGCTATATGAGCTATTCTACCATATATCAAGGCCATCGATCTGAATTACATAACCTAATCTGCATCACTATTGAAGTGAAAGTAATGTTACTGAAGCTCATTATAAACTACTCAGAAAGCAGCGCGAAAAATGATGGCAAGTCGCTAAGAGTGCTAGACGTCAAGGGAGGACATGCGCGCTATTCTTCCGCGTGAGTCAGCCAACATATTCCCTGAACTACTCACATCCCAATAACAACCTTCACTACCCTATGTCGCCATGAAAAATCAAGAAAAGGGGCTCATCATCATTCACACCCATCCCCATCTCAAACTCGATGATTCTTCTGCTAGTGAACAGAGTCAACCCTGCGTTGCGCAGTTCGCAACGGCACGTTGAGAGATCCTCAACGCACGCTGTATGGGCGGAGACACAGACGGCTCGAGCATGCGAGTGTGAATGTTCGCGCGAGAGAACGTGTCTAATCGGGCGAAACTGCGCAACGTGGCCGTTGAGAACTGCGCAACGCAGGGTTGACTCTGCTAGTGAAGCTCCCTAGTAGGGTCAAGCGAAGCGTCGAACATTTTTGAAATGTAACCCCTCCTCAGCGGCCAAAGTCCATGAAACGGCTCTCCTCAACTACTCACAAGCCAAATCATGGAAAAGTTGCTTGATTCTCCTTGAAAACTTTCATAAAGAAACCCTCCTACACCACCCTCCACCGAAAAAGTTATCAAGGAGAAAAGGTCAAGGGAACCTATTAACAATGGATCCTCAATAAATTGAGCAAAAAACGATCTACTATTGACAAAAATAGCATCCTATGACGGCATCTCGTTTTCCTTCATTTCCTTTAAAGGAATCTTGCGCGGAAAATTCTTGCACTCTTTCCTAACATGAATATGTCAGTTGTGATCACTGGAAATAGCACACAAAGTTTCACGCATGAAGATTCGGTTTCTGAAACAAACGTACAAAAACTACACGTTATGGACCATCGAAGGACCAGGAGGCAGAGCCAGGCGAGGCATGGAAAGAAGACGGCGTTTGGCCGGCTACGTACCAGGCGGCGCAATGAGAGAATCGGGTTAAAGCGCGCGATTTCGGAGAGTGGAGACAAATCGATCGATGGAATAGGATGGAGTAGAAGTGTGAGATGTGAATGCAACGAAGCAGAAGGCCAGAAAGAGCTTCTAGTGAATGCACTCCAAGAACCAAGTTTGAGCATCCCCGTCGCCAGCATTCGTGAAATCCGTCCGTGGATAATTCGAACGCGTAGCAGCCTTTTCGAGTTTTCGAATTTCTAATCAAAACGAAAGCAATACTTCAGTTCTTTTCACTATTATCGTGGATAATGAGTCTCAAGCCAGTGATTTATGGCTGAAATAGAATCATGATTTTTCCGCGCAAGATTCCTTTAAGGCGTATCAAGTTCGTACTACTACGCATATTATGCTTCTCACGTCCACCTTTCAATTGAGAGAAGCTTTGTAATCGCCTTAACCAGCAGTGTGTTTAAGGCAAGTGTCGGGATTGTAGTTGACCGAAAAACAAACCTTTACGTTTCGAGTCTGGATAGCATCATCGCGCTCCAATTCGGAAGCGGCGAACGTAGTAAAGGCCCCAGTGGCATGTACCTATGTATAGAGCCTATCCAGCCTCGTCCGATTGCCGATACTCAAACACAAAACCGGCCGCCATCACTCTTGAGATGTTGTCATGCTGGCATAAACGCTCGTGAAATCAAGGGCTAGGTTGATTGCTGTATCAGCCGATAGAATGACTGATATCTTCAGAAAACTTGTTTACGTGCCTCTTTCCCCAAGCCAGCCTTCCTCATTGCAAGTAGGAAACGGCTTTTGTTAACGGCTTTGTCGACGATTTCTCTCTGTTTTTTCTCCACTGTCGTTCTACTTCGCATCTTTATACTAAGTCTGAATCGCCATATCATATATAAGCACCTCATAACTGACTCCGACTTTGCCTTTAAATGGATCTTAGGCCTTGATTTTACAGCACTATTGAAATTTGAACACAAATCAAATGATTATAACATCCTTAAAAGTCAACAAGTTTTCAATCCATAAGCAGATTTGGAATACTTTCGGCGAGCTCTTTCTAATGGGTATTGAAATTTCGAAATTAATTAAGTGCTAACCAATTTGGATTGATTAGCGAGGAAAATTCATGATGAGTGCGAGTTTTTACACTTCTCAAAAGCCGATAACATATACAGTATCATTTAGTCTGAATCTATAGATAAACAATCATTACCAAATGGCTATTCTTATAACCCGATATTTGAACTCATTTTTGCTACATTGCTATGTTAGATGCGACGTTTAACTCAATTTTCGAGAGAGAATTGTAGATTACATAGAAAAGGATGGGGAAGAGAGGAGGAAGGATATAGGGTGGAGAGAAAAGAGGTCACAAAGACATGAATGGGAATGGAAAAACGGATAGTGGGTGGATGAGAGCGGAGGGCGAGAGAGGAGCAGGGATGGCAAGGGACAGAGGGTGAGGTGCGCGGGTGGGAATGAAGTGTCAAGGAGACAAGATAAACAAGAGAATAGGGAGTGCGGTGCGATAACATGATAGAGGCCAGCGCAGATGGGCAGCGAGACTGTCGATGGCGTGGCGAACAGCCAAGGTGCTACTAGCAAAGCGATACGGAACAAGGATATGAAGGATAGTGGAGTGACAGCGAGGCAGGAGGAGGCTGTCGAACGGTCGTACCATTAGAGAGGTGTGGAGCAAAGGGACTTTTTTTCGTACGCATCAAACTTTCGCTTCAATCGCTCGTCTCACATGACCAAAAAACGCAAGGAATTTGAAACCTGCAAATCTTTCTTCGATACTTCCGAAAGAAGTACACAATGAAACATCCTTAAAATTCCTCTAAAAACGTCTCATCGAAAAAAGAAAATAATCACGCGGCCCACATAAACAACGCTTATGGCTCTTCGTCACTCAGCGATTTTGGATGACCGGAAAGACGAGTCAACCGTCAAAACATGCTCTCATTAATCGGGATGGCTTCATCTGCAGCGATACAAGAGCACTATGACTTTCAGTTGCCAGATTTTTCCATGCACGACTATACGAACCTGTGTTACGCAAACTCACGTACCCCTTTGACGCAATGAAAAAGCTGGAACCATTATGGACCAAATCAACTGACTACTCTCACTCCCTCGAGCAGAAACTCTGAGATATGCTGATTTGGTATCATAACAATCAATACGAATTGGCCTGATGCATACTCCGTAGTTGAATCGATCCAAAAGTTTATCTATCAACTCCATTCCTTCACATAATCTTCGACGCTTCATCGCTACATATGGCTGCCCAAAACGAACCATGTGCGGCCACGCACCTGCATTTAAAGCTTTCGCTCAAGCACATGAAGAAGAACCGATACGCGAAGTACGTTGAAAGGATCTACAGGATTACTGCGTAGCGAATGAAATTGAGTTGGCACCACTTCATATCGGCTTTTCAGCCCATGAATCACGCGCGCGCCTGACGAAGAATGGTGGCATATCACACAGCTTTAAAAAACGCACTGTGGAGGACATAGACGCTCTTACCTCCTGGAGACATTCTCGTACCACCTTCCCGAAGAAAATGAAGAACATCAACCCAAACCGAGACCTCTCAAATCCGGACCGCCCACCTCCGGAAGTGGTGCGTGGCTGGCATAACGTGTGAAATCAGCTAGGTTGATTGCCGTATCAACCGATAGAACGACTGACATCTCCAGAAAACTTGTTTGTACGTGCCTCTTTCCCCAAGCCAGCCTCCTTCACTGCTAGTGGGAAAGGGTTTTGTTAACGGCCTTGTCGACGGTTTTTCTCAGTTTTTTCTCCACTGTCGTTCCACTTCGCATCTCTATACTCAGTTTCAATCGCCATAATACCCCCTTATTGAGCCCGACTTTTGCCTTTAAATGGATCTTTGGTGTTGATTTTACAGCACTATTGAAATTTGAACACAAATCAAATGATTATAACTTTCTTCAAAGTTAACGAATTTTCAATCTGAAAGCAGATTTGGAAGTTTTGTGAAGAGCTCTTTCTAATCAGTATTGAAATTACAAAAATTATAAGAAATAACAAATTTAGATCAATTAACGAGGAAAATTCATGATGAGTGCGAGTTTTTACACTTTCTCAAAGCCGTAACTACGTTCATTTTATCTGATCGATAATAACAATCATTCCAAAACGGCTTTCTTCCGATCTTGAATCATTTTTGCTACATTGGCTATGTTAGGATGCGCTCATGAATCATTTCCCTTTCCGTCAAGCAATAAACCTTCGCTTCATCGAATCGTCTCAACAAAATGGCGACCACGGCAGGATTTGAACCTGCAATCTTCTTTTCGTAATTCCGAAGGGAAGTAACATATGGCACTCCTTATTCTCTACGTTCATGAAAAGAATAATCACTGCGGCACAGAACAAACGCTTATCGCTCTCCGTCACTGCGTTTGGATACCGAAAGGACGATCAACCATCAAACGTGTCATCAATAATCGATGCTTCATCTGCAAGCGATCAAAGGCAAGACCTTTCAAGTTGCCAGATTTTCCATTGCACCCATCGCACCGTGTTAGCAAACTCAACTACCCCTTTGGAAATGAAAAAGCTGGACCTTATGGGACCAATAACTCTACTCACTCCCTCGAGGAGAATCTGAGATATGCTGGATTGGTCATAACATGTCTCGATTGCCGTGCTATCGTAGTTGAATCGATCCAAAGTTTATCCTCAACTACATTTCTTCATAATCTTCGACGCTTCATCGCTACATATGGCTGCCCAAAACGAACCATGTGCGGCAACGCACCTGCATTTAAAGCTTTCGCTCAAGCACATGAAGAAGAACCGATACGCGAAGTACGTCGAAAGGATCTACAGGATTACTGCGTAGCAAATGAAATTGAGTTCAAATTCATATCGGCTTTCAGCCCATGGCAAGGCGGCGTCTACGAAAGAATGGTGGGCATATTCAAGAACAGCTTTAAAAAACGCTGTGGGCGAATCAAGTCGCAGATCGACAAATAAGTGTTGTGGAAGCATGCACAACATCTTACTGCGTTTTCGCCTTCAACACTACAACTACGGATTTACTACTCCAGCGGAACCGGTTGTCTTCAAGTATACCATCACAATCAATGCTTGGAAGGATGGACTGCACCTCTACAACTCATCCGTTACATACTCGTCCCATACAATTTGCGAAATACTTCATTGCAACATCTGCATAGAGGAAGCTTACAACTCACAATGTCGGACCAACTTTCGACACCACGCTCACTATATTATTGGCCACAGTGACGATATCCCCTTATTGACCTTCGCTACAATTATCTATGCCCTCAAGAAACTCATGAGACTGCAACTCATTTTTTCAAACATGTGGTCAACCGCCCCTGCAAGCTAAGAAATGAGAGAAGGAATAGAGAAGCAACTTCTATTGCACCAAATCATCGCATCCACAACCGACGAAAGCCTGCATCCATCAAATCGTGCTCATACCTAACCTATCGAATCTCTCTCCCAGTACAGTTGTACTGACCATTCTCGCATGTACGGCACACCACGTGATTTGTTGTTCCAATGTCATTTCAATAACGAGTTCAAAGAAATCATGCATCACGAAAGGACTTAACGAGCACATGCATTTTCAATACAGGCACAAGATAGCCCTTCAACCACTAGGACAAGAGATGTGCCTCTCCTTGAGAACTCACAGAAACGAACCGATTGGCCTTATTTCGCTTCGGATGCTGAGTGCGTCAGCGAAAAGTTGAGCTCTTAACAAGAGATCATGAAATTAGCACCGAGTCCATCCGCAGATGCTACAGAATGGGAACTTGTAAGCGAGATAAGTGCGACAACGCAAAATCGTCTGACACCATCGAGAATTCAGTTGGAAAGATCTGCCAGGATTCACCTTCTGTAATCCGAGCTATGGGTGTCTACTTACATGCAGATGTCTCTCCTGTCAGCCCTCATGTTTCTACAAATGCTGTGCAACGCCAACATCGGAAGCTATTTATACCGTGTTTACTTGCCCATCATGGGAAGTAACTGTAACAGCAAATAACGCTGCAGCTACAAAAAGAAAGGAAAACGTTCACGATGTTTCTCGTTCCGGACAGGGGATTTTACATTATCGCTTCTGTCATCCATTTCACTCCAGCTTCCAATCCTCGCGTCAGCATTCATCACTGATGGAACAAGAACTGCGACAACCATGAAGGCTCAAGCCAACGAACTGACGCCAGCAACACAGCAACACCGAGATAAGTGCGACAACCCAAAATCGTCTGACACCATCGGAGAATTCAGTTGGAAAGATCTGCCAGGGTTCACCTTCTGTAATCCGAGCTATGGGTGTCTACTTACATGCAGATGTCTCTCCTGTCAGCCCTCATGTTTCTACAAATACTGTGCAACGCCAACATCGGAAGCCAAACTAGATGCTACTCAATTCCTCTGCCTTTTTTCTACAAGAGCTTGCACCTGTTCTACCAGGTCCTACAAAGCGACATGCACATGTCCAAAAAGAGATATTTCACCGTACAGGACTCGGAATACCTTCCCCCTAATCAACAAAAGTGTCATCATCGAACAACATGATGATACCATAGCTGCTCACACTTCATCCCGAGTCGATATGGTCAATCTCTGTCCAAACTCACAATGGAAACGTCACAAGTGTTTTCTGTACAGAACAAAGGACAATGTTCCATAACGAGTTCGTCAATGTATTGGAAAGCTATTCGTGTCCGCTAGGAGCCAAAGTTCCCATCGTATGCTACTCCACCGAAGAACAAACGACTGCCGACATCACTTGCGAACAAGAGCAACAAGTCGCCATCTGCACCAAGACTGGAAAGCTAAACGAAATGATATTTCACTTTCGCTCACCGGAAATCGCAACGAAGTGCACCGTCTCTTGCCCCGGAGGGCAATCCAGCTTCCCAAACAGAAGGCGCACTTGACTACGTAAACGATGCACAAATCCAAGAAGAAATCTCCAACAACAACGAGGGAAGGATCGACCACAAAAGGAATGCGCTCAATGCATAACCGCGGATATATTCGCTCCCGGACCCAATGATTGAGGGAGGCTGTTGAGCGAGAAGCGGTGAAGCTGGTGGAGTTGAGGCCTTTGAGGACGACGATATAGTCGAAACGTCAGGCTCAATAAAGATTCCACCGTACAAAACCTGTGTGGCACACAAACAGAAAACAACAATGATTGAATTTTTTCTCAATGCAAACCTATTAACATCTATCAAGATATTCTTAACTTGTATCATCTTCATCATTTGGCTATACTGCATTGTTTTCGTGAGATCTATCCTTTCTAGGACTAAGAAACAAATCTAGTTTGGCCGGGAATTTATCTGATCGATAACAGTAACTTTTCCAGAACGGCTTCCTTCCGATCTTGAACCATTTGCTACATTGGCTATGTTAGGATGCACTCATGGATCATTTCCCTTTCTGTCAAGCAATGAACCGTTGCTTCATCAAATGGTCTCAACAAAATATGAAATGATCAAAACAACATATCAAATGATTATAACTTTCTTCAAAATCAAGAATTTTCAATCTGAAAGCAGATTTGGAAGTTTTGTGAAGAGCTCTTTCTAATCAGTATTGAAATTAAAATTATAAGAAATAACAAATTTAGATTAATTAACGAGGAAAATTCATGATGAGTGCGAGTTTTTACACTTTCCAAAGCCATAACTCCGTTCAAACTCATCCAATCTGAAAAGTTAATACGTCATCATAAACTAGAAGATTTGCTCTATTCAATTTCCACTTGCTCAATACGTCCTGTATTTGAAAAAGGCCACGTCGAAGATTTCGGCCCGAATACCGCTGAAAGGTACTTTTTCGTCCTTTCAGGGCGATTAAGTACAAAAAATGGGAGCAGATTCTGAATCCTTCGTGCTTTTTTCTTCCCAAAAAGTGTAAAATTGTTTAGCGAATCTCAACTTTAACACTTACATGCTTCATGAATTTGACGCTGAAGGCTGCATTTCTTGTTGAATAGTGTACTCCTCCCTGTAATTTCACATGAACCCTTTCAGAATCCTCTTGATTTTTCCTGAATTGAGATTTTCTCCCAGAGCCGTAGCTGAAGCGCGCGCAACTGGGTGCACTCTTGGAGATGCGCCGTGTGCTTCACATCCCTTCATGTTGGTAGACTCATTTAAAGATAAATATCCCTTGGAAAACGTGCGAATTTCGGATTCTTAACTTGTGTGGTGATAAACACTGAAGTAACTAAGAATTCACTAAGCGGACCACTTGAAACCACGAAAATTTCATGTGACAGAATAACATCGTTATTGGAAATCCCCGGCCTTTCATGGCATATGTTTGTCCTCCGATAGTAACGATCCCACTGCATCGATACGACCCGACCTCTTCTTATCACCCGCCCTATGCGATCCCTCCCGTCGAGGATTCCTCAGCGCACGCTTGACTCCGCTTCCTGGGGAGAATATACTCTAGCGCCGATTTTTTGACACAGTGCTCTTCCGTTCTGGAAAAGACCACTACTGTCACCGCATTATAAGTTAGCAACGGTTACTTACTTGCTGATGGATCTTGTTCATGTGTTAGGAAGAAAACTCAAAGAAAAAAGCGTGACACAGTTCTCGGAGCCGTCCCTTCCGGGCCTCATACGCATCTTCTTTTCTATTTTTGTATATCCCCGTGGACCTGTCTTGTTCCACCTGCACTAGTTCTTCGTGCGAAATAAGGCCGGACTCATAAAGCAACATGAACC